GCAGCGAGTGGTCAACGCTGAGGGCAGAGAATGCCCCTACTCAAGATGGCGCTCGTACAGCCGCGGCAGGCTCATTGCCCTAAATAAAGATGGCCGCACCCGCCACGACCACCTGGCGGGACGGCGCCCACATGCCCTTACTTAAGATGTCGGCCGTGAGGAGTTGTGTTTCGGCTGCGGATCTGGGGCTGTATGGGGTTGGTGGGGAAGGTCTTAACCAGCCCTCCCGGCGGCAGAGGGGAGCTGTGGCCGCTTTCTACTGTTGGTGCCCCGGCGTTTTGAACCGGGCGGGGGATGCCAGGGGCGGTGGGCAGGCAAGGCCGGGCCGGTGAGGGCACATCCCGGGAGGAGAGTGGTGAAGCCTCCCGGCTCTTCCAAGTACTGGAGCTGTAACTTTGGCTCACCGGGTGAAATCTTACGTCTGGATGCTACCTGTGGGTGACCCTGGTGTTGTCTGGAGTGCACTGAGTACTTTAAAAATAATTTTTGAAAGCTCAGGACAGGTTAAAATTGTGGCCACCATTGTTTTTTTTTCACATTAAATTGTGATTGGTTTGTTAAAAATGCTGCTTATTTTATCGTTTTTAATAAATACTAAATGCCTGGCATAGACAAGCTCTTATCTCCATCAGCATTTGCTCTCTGTAGTGATTACCAACCTTTTCCTTTTCTCACGTCCTCGAAGGTTATTTCATGTTTTTTTGGTGTTTGGTTTGGAAGGCATCAGTTTTCAGTTATGAGCTGCTGGGGATCCTGGACCATTTACAGGAGATGGAGAGACCACTTAAGGTAAACACACACAAGAAAGGCAGCACTGCTGTCCTGAATTTACATCTGTTCTAGAAACATTTCCTGAAAAACAAAGTAGGGATTTAAAAACTGAAAAAGGCTGGAAGCAACTCCAAGGCAGTATTTAAGAGAATGCTGTCATTACACAGTACTTCTGGAAGTCTTTTGGTTTTATTGGCCATTATTTTGATGAGTGGATGGTGACTTGTGTATCAGTTTGTCAGTACCAATGAAATGTTTGTTATAGCCTCAGATATTCGAAGAATCAGTAAGAACACGGATTTAAAATGTGTGGATGGCTGACAAAGAGCTCAGCCAGTGATGTGCAATATTGCCATCTAACAGCTTTTTGGGAGATTTGTGTAAACTAAATTGGCAGTCTGGAGCTGAGCAGACAAAGTATGCAAATGAAAACTGATGCTCATTTCAGCAACTGGAAGCAAAAGGCCAGGGTCAGAGTGTGCTCCGTAATGAACTCGGCCCTCCAAGATCAAGGCTGAGGTGCACTGATGAGAAAAGTGCTTCGCTCTTTTGTCTGCAGTGCATCTCTTGGATGGATAAATACCCAACTTGCTGTTCATCACTGTCAAGAAAATTGTCACTTCTCACGAGCGCTACATTAATTAAAATTGAGAGTAAGGACTGCGAAGTTAGGCATTTGGAATCTTAAATTTTCAAAAAGGAGGATGAAATGATACATTCTTAGCATGTTGTACGCTCTGGTGCAGCTGCTATTACTTAGTAAAACAAAATGGGCCTAGGAAGAGGAGAAATCAATCCAAAGTCATGTGCTTAAATTAATTCCCAAACCCTTTATAGACATTATCCTATGCAACCAGCTGGGCTGCGTAAGATCTCCTGCAAATGAGCTAGTGAAACAGTGTAGCAGAATAAAAATTGTATTTGGAGAGTTTCACTTGACATTTTATGTATATGCACCTATGTAACTTAAAAAAAAAAATCTTCAGGCTATTGTACAGGTTTCAGAGATAAAAAGCACCTGCAGTTCTTGCAACTGGCTTCAACTCAGCTGATGCCTGTTGAGTATTTTGCAACTAGCAGTAGGAAAACTTTCTCTTCTCTACTCTCAAGCAGCCTCTGCAGGGACGGGAGCCACAGCTCCCACACACCAGCCATCCCAGGCAAGCTGCGGGTACTGTGGTGCATTTTGGAGTGCTGTCGGGAGCAGCGCTGGTTGTGGTGAATGCTGTGAGGCAGTTGTGTATCCTGTCATGCTGTCCAAGTCCTATGGCTTTTTCCATTCCTTTCTGTGGAAATGATGGGGCCTGTGCTGCTTAGGCCTCTGCACCAATCTGCATTTAAGAGAGCTCTGAATTAATTGCTGGACACTGATTTGCTGCAAATACGTACAAATAAAGCTTTTCTATGAAGTCTATACCTACATATTGCCCTTACTGGGGAGTCTGGTGGTCTTGTTAGTATATAAGTTTCTTAGGTCTATGAGTTATAAACACATGGGCAGCTCAAGATCATCTGAAAGCTGACTCAGCTTTTAAGCTCTGTATTTCACAGCACAGCTCCC